CTTTTTCATTTCCTACTGGTTTCACAAAATATTCGTTCAGCCTGACTGACCTATTCATAATTCATCATCTTCTTCTAGATTGAACCATATGAAATGGTCATTTCTGTAGGTTAAAAATGATCAAATATAAGCAATTTCAGGTGGTTCAACCTAATACAGATGGAGCTTTTTATGTGTCAGGCCTGTGCAACATACCACATCTGCCTTATTTGGTCATCAACAGCCCTATAAGGTAGATATTGGGTAATAGGTAAAGGCACCGGCTCTGGAGTCAGGCTGATCTTGGTTCAGATCTAAGCTCTGCCACTTCCTCTGTGGCCATGAAAAGCCACTTCACCAGTCCCTCAGCTTCAGTTTCCCATAGAGCACTGTTAGGATAATTAATTGAAATGGATGTAAAGTTTTATACCTTCCTGGCACATAATAGGCACTTAATGGCTGTTTGCTATTTTTATCATCAATCTCATTTTTACAGAGAAAATAATTGAGGCCCACCAACACGAGGTACCTGCCCAAGGTCACATAGCTAATGGGTTACACAGCTGCCTTTCAAACCCACATCTGTCCAACTCCAAAATACACACTCAACCTCTTTAGGAAATGGCCTATTTTTTTAAAAAATCCTGTTGAAGTTATAAATTGATCCTTTTTAAGATGGTTTTAAAAAGGAAGGAAGGGAGGGAGGGAGGAAGGAGAAAGAAAAAGCAAGTGTTCACACTAGATGCTTAAAGTTGAACTCTATTTTAATAATGTGACTGGCGCATTGCTTTCAGCCTAAGGAATAAACCAGAAACTGCGAGTTTATTCCTTTTACCACTCACTAACTGAAGTGACCTTGAATAAGTCACATCGTGATCTTGTTTAGTGTCACGTGTAAAACAGGCATAGAAAAACAAGCCCGTCCCATTTGTGGGTGTGAAGGATGAAGAATCAGAGAATTTAGATTCATTTTAACCTGAAAAAAGACCTATTTATCATTATATACTCACCCCCACTGGATTGCTGAAAACAGACAATAAAAATTTTGCAAAGCATAGTCTAAATTGTATAATGTATAAATACATTATATGTACAAATACATTATACTTGTACATAGTAACAATGAAACAGCCATTCGGTAAAAACACATGACATTAGATCAGTGAATATCAAAAGTCAGCGTATAATGTGAAGAGAGGTAGATAGCATAACGCTGGGGTGTACTGACGACAGGGTCATCTCCTTTCTGTAACTTTAGGAGATGGCTCTATGGAATCATTGAAATTCTCTGGGAACACCTCTTATTCTTCATCTCTATTCTGTATTACAAATTCCATTGCTACTTTATACAGGAATGATCTGGTTTCTACTCATTAGGTCAGTGTGATGGAAGAAAGCCTACATAGGAAGCTGAATGGCCTTATCAACTAGTCCCTGCATCAGCTCAGTGCTGTGACCTTGGACAAGTCATTTAATCTCTGTATGGCTGTGTTTCTTTGTCTATAAAATGACAGCAGTTGAACTAGATTATTTCTAGAGTCCTTGTGAGTCCTAATACACTACGGTTTTTATAAAATCCATCAATAATGGGGCCATCACCAAGAAAAAAACATTTCTGTGACTTTCCTCAAAAGTACCCTGCCCTGAGTCATTAACTGCTTCATATCTTTTGCCAAGTAGGTCTTTAATTTGTTACATTGTTCTCTTTGTCTTAAACCACCTAGTGAATATCTCAAAAAGATATGAGTTGGTTAAGTTCATACAATAACAAGACAAACGACTAAAAAATATGTTTTAATTGTTATTTGTTTAAAGTTGTAAAACATAAATTGGGCAATTCTTTTGACAAATTATTTTCTGTAAGAGGCTCACTGTTCACTTCAGCCAAGTCACAAAATAATCTTATTTTGTTATTAAATACACTCTTTCAGGGGCACCTGGGTGGCTCAGTCCTTAAGCATCTGCCTTGGGCTCAGGTCATGATCTCAGGGTCCTGGGATTGAGTCCCGCACTGGGCTCCCTGCTCAGCAGGGAGCCTGCTTCTCCCTCTCCCCACCTGGCCCTCCCCCCCCACCCCCTGCTCTCTCTCGCTATCTCTCTCCTCTCAAATAAATATCCTCTCCAAAAAAAAAAAAAAATCAAGTTCTACCGTGTTTAGGTAACAAAAGTCCTGTTTTGCATTTACCTTCTATCTCAAAGGACTCACACATATGTAAGTATGTAATTATTCTCAATTCACAGGTAGATGTTAAAGCAACCCAGAGGTTGACTAACTTCTGTGAGGCCCCCCAGTATCTGCAACAGACAGAATTGATCCGCATCTTTCAAATTTTCTTTGTAAACTCCAAAACTTTAAAATGAAAAATCTTAATTATGAACCTAATTTCACCCTTGTGATCTTCCTTCCTGCTTTTTAAAATCTATCTAGTTGGCACGAATAACCCTCAAAATGAAATGGAAAATCAGGGAAGCAAATCATCTGGGCACATCAAGTACCTCCTGACCTGCCCTCCCTCCTAGGCTTTCTTTCTATAAACAAGCTGAGCTGGCCACACTCATTTCAGTGGTTTGACCTCCTGACAGGGACATGTTGTGAATACAAGTGCAATGGATATTTTTGCAATACAGAATGTGTTTGAGAATCTCAAATAATTTGAGGGGCTTTTAAAAGCTAAGCTGCTCAAAATGAAAACAATGAAGTGGACAACCAGTATTAAAACAATGGAGTTAAAGCTATGTAAATTAAACCTTCTCTCCTCTGATACCTGGCCAACAATTTGCTTTCAGAACAAGGCTGTCTAGGTGTTCTTTTCCTTAGAATCATTAGAACACTTAGTAGCAAGGAGAGGAGCATACCTTGATCCCGTGCCGTCATTTCTGCCATGATAATCGCAGGTGCACTGTGAAGGACATAAACAGCTCACTCCCTCCAAAAAGCTAATAAGCACAATGTACAGACATGCTGAGAGACGCATCACTCTTTCTAGAGGTTATTTGAACAAAAAGTAAAAACCAAATCCTAAGCTTCAGAAACTGGTGTGCCAGGAATACAAACAGCCATTTAGTAACAGCAGATTACGTGGGATTAGCTGAGATCTGTAGTTACTTAACCTTCAAGTGTATTTTACAGGGGATCAATCGACCTAGCCTTTGAATATGATTTCAGCAAAGTAACACATTCTAAGGAAAATGAAAATGAAGCACATGTCAAGAAAATTTCAATAGGTGCCCATATCCAAATTTGCAAGGAAATGCCTATTAAGTCCTTTTTCTATGGATGTAATTGCTACTATGTCTTGAAGATACTTAATGTTAAAAATAATTCAATCTTTTAGCAGATGCTAGAAAATACAGCAGATTATTTATAACATAAATTTTATTTTTTGCATTTATGATCTCCAAAACAAAGTAAAAAAATCTAGTACCTAGATTTTTTTAGGCAAAATGCTTCAATCCACCGAGTGGCAGGACTAAGACTCTGGCTCTCCCAGGTCACTTCAGAGCAGTGTAAGGCTTATCCCAGCAGTTTGTAATGAAGGCCATGATCTATCTTCAAGAATATATTTTATTCTCAACTAGTTTCTCAATACAGGCATCAAGCCATATCTGAAAATCAACTGTCATGTCTTTTAGCAAAATTAGGCTCTATCAGAAAATAAAAATTAAATTCAATCATTAAAAACTACCTCCATGGACATAAGATGGAAAATCCTCATGGATAATTGACAATCAAGGATTTAGGTTTTACACACACACACGCACACACACATATATCTGGGCACATCAGGTACCTCCTGAATGGTCCTGCCCAATAACACACACACACACACACACACACATATATATATAATTTAATCTTGTTATTATATTGGGTGGTTCTATCAACAATTTAAACCAAAAATCTTTTCAAAAGAAAGTCAATTCTATAAAAATAAGAATATTATGGGAAATGTTATTTAAAATTGATAGGATGCATACAGAAACAATAAAGTCAGAAAAATTTGCTCAATTAAAAAAAATACCACAGATTTTAAATGTCCACTATTTAAACAATGGTTATGTAAAACAACAAATAATTGAGTCTACAAATGCATTCAACATTCAACAATTTTTTATTGAGTGCCTACTATGTGCCAGGCAAAATGCATCTACCTGCTAAGGATACATCAAAGAACAAGCATACAGCTATCAATGGACATGAAGTTTCAGTTAAGCAAGACAACATGTTCTACAGATCTGCTGTACACATATTTACCAATACTGTACCGTACACTTAAAAACTGGTTAAGAGGATAGATCCATGTTGCACTCTTGCCAGAATAAAACAAATTTCAGACAAACAAAACAGGAAAAAGAGAACAAATATACAAAAAAATTGATTAAATTCTAGTGGCAAATATATGGAAATACATATACAGAAAAATGTTAATTAAAAATGCAGAATACATAAAATATGCAGAGAGATTATATTGCTATATAAAGTATGTGCATCAACTAATGTGATTTAGAAGCAATAGTGTTTTTTTGTCAAATAGTAGAAGTTAATAATTGTATTACAATTTTAAAAGTGTGAAATGCTAAAAATGTTTTCCGTCTACCTAGGAACATCCAACAACTCATTTCAGTAATTTACTTATTGAAGACTATTATTATTATTAATTTATTTTAACATTAAAATAGTGGCTACTTCTAGTCTAATGGAGAGTCCAGGCAAGTTACGAGGTCATTGATACAGTGTAATGAATGTCATGATTGGGAGAAAGAGAATGGGCCTTAATCTCATGTGCCTAGATTCATCAAAGGAGATGAATAGTAAGTTTACATGAAGGAAATAAGCAATCACTAGAATAGCCATCCCTCAAACAGAAGAACCAGGAGCTACACTTGAGGAATTTAGGGTCTAATAAGACAATAATCTATGTCTGCATCTGATCTAACCAGGATCATATTTAAAATAAAACTAAACCACTGGGGGAAAAAGTAAATAAGATATTTTGATGCTGCGTACTTTTTCTCTTATTTCAGTTTCTCCCAGGAGCCAGTGGATTTTGAGATATATCCATTGGTAAAATACTCGTCACGGGCATTGCTTGGTGAGTCTGACATTTGAACATGGCAAACATTGCCTTCCGAAATCTACAGTAAGAAAGGGGAAATCTGGCGTTATCCTATAATAACTTGGAACTCTTAAAGCATTTTCGAATATGGCTAAGACACCTCTATTGCTAACTGACATCTCCAAATAAATTTTTGCCTCCAACTTTAACATCTCCTGTTAAGAACATTCATAAATGTATAAGGTATAAAGTTTAGTTAAAGACCAGTTTTGCACCACTGATTACAAACATTGAAGACATTTAATAAAAATCAATAATTATGTCTGTTTAACATGACACTTCAAATGTCAGTTACAATTTACTTGAACTAAGGATATGCATTTCACACATTTGTTCTTCTGAACAAAGGCCAGTTGAAATTAAAGGGAGCTTGAGAATGACTGATCTTTTCAAAAGAACTACCAATAGAATCTGAATTTAAAATATGTTCTTTATTCTTCTTATGTGATCTGTTTGGTCTTAAAAGTTTGATCTGTAGCTAAAGCTGCTCTCCCAAACATGTGCATAAATACAAACGTTTGCATTTCAGGATCAAATTACCTGGCCTCTACTGAGATTTTTTTTGATCAAATACTTAAGGACAATAAATTGGTTATTCCATCTTTTAGCAGTAACAGGAAGTAAAATAATCTAGCCTACACTGAGGAGACAGAAATCTTTGCTGAGCTCCCTTCCAAGGGAGAAGGAAGTATTCTTTATTGTCCTGAATGACTACCCACTCCTGAAGCTCTTTTACTTTAGCATTGAGTTTTTCTCTTGCATTTGATTATCTTCTTTCTAGTAAATATACAACTACACCACCCACTTATGGAGCCCAACATTGCCTTCCTCACCTTGTCCATTTTCTGATAATAGAATCACTCTTTTCTTTGGAAAATCAATTCCATGTGTTGGGGAGGGGGGTAGCCATGAGAACTAAGCTGAGCCCACCAACCACCTTCCAGCAGCTTTTCTGACAGAAAGCCATCTGAGATGACACTCGAATTTGGGGGGGCTTAGCTGGTAGAACTTGGGTCTTGGGTTGCAGTAATCATCTCCCCTCCATATGGGAAGAGGCTGTCCCAGAGCTGGAGCTCTAGGCATTTAAGGGCCTAGATGCTTCTCCAGTTGCATGAGCCAAATAATTTTTACACTAGTTCTTTCTATATCCATGTTTTTTATTTGAAAGCATTTTAAACATTACTTACTTTCTGTTAGCAACCACGTAAATACAGGGATTGTAGAATGTAGAAGATTTTGCAAATAGCGGAGCTATGATGGCCATTGAGGGAGGAATCTTCTTTGGGTCACCAAAAGAAGCCCATAAGCACACGATGGAATAAGGGGACCACGCCACCAGAAACATAAGTATCATTATCACAGACATCTGTAAAAAAAAAATCAGTATTTGGCAAACCCAATATCTAAAATATTGAAATAGCTAATATATTTAAAATAGCATGAAAAATTATCTAGATCGGAATTTGAATAAGTTTATGTTGGTGATGACATAGAGGAAAAACAACTTCTCCAAACCTCATTGCACTTTGCTTGCGTGCCTCAAGTCCTCTATGATAACAAGAGCTTGTTAAATGGATAGAACGTTAAACAAATGTAAAGAATGTCCTCTTTCTTTTAGTGTGCTAGGGAAGAATACAAAAGCTGGCTTTGATGAAAGGCAGATGAAAACCCACTCCACGGGGCGCCTGGGTGGCTCAGTTGGTTAAGCGACTGCCTTCGGCTCAGATCATGACCCTGGAGTCCCCGGATTGAGTCCTGCATCGGGCTCCCTGCTCAGCGAGGAGCCTGTTTCTCCCCCTAACCCTCCCCCCTCTCATGTACTCTCTCTCTCTCATTCTCACTCTCTCAAATAAATAAATAAATCTTTAAAAAAAAAAAAAAAGAAAACCCACTCCTAACCCACTTCTAGTAATTGTGCTATGGACTGCTGGCATTGTGCTTTTCCCCCTCACTGTCATTATCTGCTGATCTAAAAAAATAACTAACTTTCTAAATTCAATCTGGAAAAAAACAAAATCCTATTCTGAGTTCATTGTATTCTAATACAGACAATTTGAGCTTGATATACATGTACAGTGTAGATAGTTTTGTAAAGAAGTTCCCCTTGCATCTTGTTTAAATAAAAAATTATAACTTTTACATTGCTCCTTATTGATTGTCCACTAAAATGATGGAAAGAGTAGTTTAAAAAGATAAAAACCAGGGAGTGCCTGGGTGGCTCAGTTGGTTAAGCATCTGCCTTTGGCTCAGGTCATGATCAGGGGGTCTTGGGATTGAGCCTCCAAGACGTAGGACTCCCTGCTCAGTGGGGGTGGGGGTCTGCTACTCCCTCTCCCTCTGCCCCTCCACCCTGCTCATTCTCTTTCTCTCTCTCTCTCAAGTAAATAAATAAAATCTTTTAAAAAAAAGATAAAAACCCCTAAGGATTGAGAATCACAGATTGATAATAGCTTTGTAAAAATTAAAACTGAACAACCACTGGACAAGCAGCAAATTACTTATCAGACACAACAATAATTTAAAAATAAATAAAACTTTTTAAAAAGAGCCAGCAGTGAGGGAAAACTAAATACAGACTAATCCATTCCACAAAACTATATAAAGTCCCTGGAATTGGAGGTAACAAGCTAGCTTTGAATGTGGGGCTACACATGGAACTTAAAATAGCAGAACTCACTGAAACCTGCAGAAAGAAGCAATTAGATTTCTGAACCCCCTCACTCAGCCAGGCAACTCCCCTTCCTCTCCCCAGAAGAATCCAGACGTTCAGTGTAAGAGGCAGGAAACTAGGGGGCACTGGGCCGCTGAGAGCTGGAGCACTGTACTAGAAAGAGGGGTGCTGCATGCTGTCCCCTCCCTGTTCTGAGCCATGAGAGTATCGGAAACAGACTTGTGCTTCCCACTCAGGATCATGAAAGAATCTTCTCCTTGAAAACTGACCAGCCCAAAAGAAAATACATGGAGATACAGAGCATCAGAAATTCCCCCAAAGGAACATCCCAGTGAACAAGGATGCCCAGAGCTTACAATCAGCTTTTTAGTGCATCACTCTTAAATTTGCAGAAGACAGTCATTGACCACCAGACACTGAGGAAACAAACTGATAGGCAGAGACAAAAATGGCACACACGTGCAAACACACACACTCACACAATGGAATATTACTTAGCCATAAAAAATGAAATCTTGCCATTTGTAGCAACATGGATGGACCTAGAAGGTATTATGCTAAGTGAAATAAGTCAGAGAAAGAAAATACCATATGACTTCATTTATATGTGGAATCTAAGAAACAAAACAAATGAACAGACAGAAAATGGAAATAGACTCATAAATACAGAGAATTGGTGGTTGCCAGAGGAGAGGAACATAGGGGGATGGGCAAAATAGGTGAAGGGGATTAAGTGGTACAAACTTCCAGTTATAAAATAAATAAAGTCATAGGGATGAAAAGTACAGCCTAGGGAGTATAGTCAATAATACTGTAATAACATTGTATGATGACAGACGGTAGCTACAATTACTGTGGTGAACATTGCGTAATGTGGAGAATCACTGAATCACTATGTTGTACACCTGAAACTAATATAACATTGTATGTCAACTATAAAAAGATAGCCAAAAACAGTGGTGCAGAAATTCAGGGGAAACAAAAAATATGTGATGAACAGAAGGAAAATGTAAATATGTACATAATACCATCACAAAAATGAGAGAAGATATTTATCCATAAAACAAGAAGAGGAGGCTACTGGAAAGGAGTAGAGGATGTAAAATTAACTCTTTTTATCTATAAAAACCATTTTTATCCTTTACCCTATCTAAAAAATAAAGGGCAGAATTTTAAAAATGCAGTGGCAAGGTTGAATGATGTGGTCAGCCAGGATTAGGGTAATGAGGTGAGTCATGCAAGTGCAGGGTCAGATTCTGTGTTTATTTAAAATTTTATATTTTGGGCGCCTGGGTGGCTCAAATGGTTGGGCGTCTCCCTTCGGCTCAGGTCATGATCAGGGGTCCTGGGATCGAGTCCCACATCGGGCTCCCTGCTCCTTGGGAGCCTGCTTCTCCCTCTGCTTCTCTCTCTCTCTCTCTCTCTCTCTCCCTCTCTCTCTCCCTCTGCCTCTCATGAATAAAAAAAAAAAAAAATTTTATATTTTGTTCAATATGGGGTAACAATTTTTTTTATTTAAAATCAATTAACATATAGAGTATTATTAGTTTCAGAAGTAGAGTTTAGTGATTCATCAGTTGCATATAACACCCAGTTCTCATTCTATCAAGTGCCCACCTTAATACCCATCACCCAGTTACCCCATCTCCCCACCCCCCTTCCCTCCAGCAACACTGTTTCCTAGAGCTGAGTCTCTTATCATTTGTCTCTCTCTCTCTGATGTGACATTAAATTTGATTTTTTAAAAAATACTACATTAACTACTTTTTTTTTGAATTGCTGAGTTTTTTGGTGCCTGTTTAAATCTTGCACCCAAGGCTTGAGCCTCACTTTTCTCACCCAATCCCAGACCTGGACATGGTTGAGGAAATCTTGCAGAAAGTAGAAACAAAAACAAAGCCCAAGACAGGGACAACACAGGAGAGAGCATTTAAGAAAATTAGAAGATATATTCAGGAGATTCAATATCAAAAAAAAAAAAGACTTCCAAAAAAAAAGAACAGGGAAAAAAAAAAAAAAAAAAAAAAATTGAACACTACATCAAAAACTAATGATGTAATGTATGGTGATTAACATAACAATAAAAAATTTAGAAAAAAAAAAAGAACAGGGAAAAAAAAAAAAAAAACCAGGAAGGAAATCACCAGAGAAATAATACAAGAAATCTCCCAGAAGGGGAAGACTTGAGTCTTCATATTGAAAGCACTCACCAAGTACCCAGAACATGGGTGAATAAAGAGGCCCCTCAAGGCACATCAGCATGAAATTCCAGAAAACTGGAGAAACAGAGATGATCCTCCAAGCTTCCAGAGAGAACACACAGAACACTACTAAGGGTCAGTCACCATAATGCTGCCAGCTTTCACAATAGCAGCACTGGAAGCTAGGAGACTCTAGAGCAATGCCTTCAAAATTCTTTGAAAATCATGGTTTTACTTAAAATTCCATGCGAGACAAACCGTCAAATATGATCATAGAATTAAGAGTTTCAGGCAACAAAATCTTTAAAAATTTATCTCCCTATAACCTCCTCAGAAATCTTTTTGAGAATGTGCTCCACCAAATGAGAGCGAGTAACCAAATAAAAGGGAAGATATGCAAGCCAGAAAACAGGCGATCCAACCGAGAGAGGCCACAGGCATTCCCAGCTGTCGATAAGGAGATGTGAGGGTGCCAGCAGTGGTCTTAGAGAAGGGCCAGTGTAGAGCAAGATGCGTGGGAGTGCCGGGAGGGACAGTTCCAAGAGAAGGATAAAGTCAATTAGTCTCCGATGCACTTGAAAAAAGAGGAGAATGGCGCTTCTGGTGGGGCGTTTAGAGATGAATCAGTGACCCATACACAGAACAGCGAGCAAACAAAACTATGGGGGTGGGGAGAATAGAGGTAGAGCAGAAGAGGGGACTGAACGGAGGGAGAGGAAAAAAGAAAATGAGTGATTAACCCCCAAAGAAAAAATTGTATCAAAAAATACAAATCACAGAACCATACAGAGATCTACAATAAACAAAATTTAAGTAGTTACAATAAGGTACAGTAATGTAACCAAATATTAACATTATGCTGACAAGATGAGGAAAGAGAAAGGTTGGGATGGAGGAGGAGGAAAGATGGTGTAAGAGAAATAAATTCTCATGATCCATAGCAGGAAATCAAGAGTAATAGCAAACAAAAATATCCAAAACAGCAGATAAACACATCATTTAGAAATGTGGAGACAAACACAAGAAAAAGAGCCAAAAAGTAAAAATCAGGTGTTGGGGAGAGGTGATTGTAATATGGACCACATATGTGCAAAAGCTCCATGACAAAGACATTTTAAGGATTTTAATGTCTTACCTTTGTTACATCTACCTGATCTGACCAGTCTCTGTTGAGGTACTCAGTGCAGTTACTAGTGGTATGACATTTAATGGACCAAGTGACATGGTAATAGCAGTAAAACATCACTGTCAAGGGCACAATAAAATTTATCACAATAACTGTCATCGTGAAAGAAACAAAAGATCTGAAAATAAGAAAAGGGAATCATTATATCACTATTTGTTTAATGTGCTGAATAGGGGAAAGGAAACAGGACAATAATTAAAAATAATCCTGGCACTGTTCAATAGTCACTATATTATGACGTAGCTTAGGAAAGATATCTAACTAGTTCATTTAGACTAGAGGGTGGCAAAACTATGGCCTATGGGCCACACCCAGTCGGTCGTCTGTCTTTGTAAATTAAACTTTATTGGAACTACATTCATTTACATACTGTCTATGGCTGCTTTCACAGGCAGGGTTGAACAATTATAACAGAGACAGTCTTGTCTGTAAAGCCTAAAATATTTTCTTGTTGACCCTTTACAAAAAGTTTAAGATTTAGATTCAGTTTGAGAGTTAGAAATTTTCTACCAGTTTTTGAGTCATCTTTCATTTTCTTTAACAAACTAAGTTACCCTCTTTTCCCTGGTAAATACAGAAGAGCACCACTAAGGAGCAAGCAAGTCCTTCCGGTGACTGTGCCTTTGCTGTGTCATTTCAGCTTTATCACCAGATCATCCTGAAAAGATAGTAGGGAGTCAGCCTGAGCTTTTGGCGTTCGGGACAGCCACATGCTGTCTGGCGGTACTAATGCTCCGTCTTCCCTTTCAGATTCTACCCCTGAGATACCAATACTGAATGGGTGCTCAGGAGAGAGAGGCCGGAAGAGGGTAAGGGAACAAGGGAGCTTGATGGCCTTCACTTGCCAGCAAGCGTAATGCAGGCTGGAATCACATCATCACCACAAAGGAAGCACCTGGCCACACTGTGTGCAAAACATTTGATCTGAGCTTAAATTTGAAAGGATGAGAGAATGTCTACATTAGAAGCATCTGATTACTGTAAAGTGAAAATGTGTCTCTTACGCATCATTTTTCCGCCAGTTTATGGTACAAGTAGCCCCAGTAGGATCTGGGGCATAACTAGCCCACCCTATGATAGGCATCAAAGCCCAAGAGTCCATTGAGCCAGGCCCCCAGAATCATGAGGATGTAAGTGTTGCTGGTCATTCTTCTTCCTATTAACAAACAGATGAGATATTAGCATCATTTGCCACTGATGGAATTCATTTCTTCACTTTAACTGGTTATTCAAAGTTGTTGTCAAGTAGATTCTTTACAAAGCACTTTAGTTCACTCAGAGCCTATTTACATGAATTCATATTCAGGGGAAAAAAAAGGCATTTAAGCCTGTACCTGAATGATAAAAAGGATCAGCCAGAGGACAAGCAGGGAGAAGCACTCTCCAGGCCTACAGACACAGCATTTACAAAGATCCCAAAGTGGGAAAGGCCTAGGCCAGTACCCCAAAGTGAGGGGGCCCCAGCCAAAGCTGGAAAGATAGCCAGGGGCCCGACCACATGGAGCCTTGGAGGTTGTGCTGTGAAATTTGGATTTTATTCTAATATCACAGAAAATCACTGAAACTTTTGAACAAGGATTGTCAGAGAAATGAGACTGACCAATGCAGTCTTAATGCAACTCATTACATTTGTTTTATTTTTTTAAAAAGATTTTATTTATTTCTGAGAGAGAGAGAGAGAGAGAAAGAGCATGAGCAGGGGGAGGGGCAGAGGGAGATGCAGACTCCCCGCTGAGCAGGGAGGCGGATGCGGGACTTGATTCCAGGACCCTGGGATCATAATCTGAGCCGAAGGCAGAGGCTTAACCGACTGAGCCACCCAGGCACCCCAATCATTACATTTATATTTTAAAGTGCATGTGTGTTGAGTGGTACTTAGGCAAGAAACGGATTCATTGAGAAAGCTGAGAGAAGTCCTATACCTGTGTCCGGACTACAGATGGTCAGGTATCTATCCATGGCCACAACAGTGAGTAATCCAATACTTGCCATTCCAAAAAAGATATTCAATCCGGCATAAATCTAAAAATCAAAATTGGAAAGAAAACACCATTCTACACACCCTCCCAAGAGACACTTAAATTTTTATTCCATGGCTAGAATACATCTTAAGGACATTGAATGTTTTTTATTTTAATAATTTTAGAATACATTTTCCATTGTCATGTAACTGGCTTATTAAAGGCATGCATGGAAAGTGTTTTAGGTCTTTAAAATAAACTTTTTAAAAATTTTAAGACTTAAAGTAAAACTTCTTTACAACATACTCTATAACAAACCATAAATTAGGTGCAGTGCATAGAACAAACAAAATACTAGTGTTCACAAGATAGAGAATTCAACAAAGAGGAAAAGACAAACAGGAAAATGGGCTATTCACACAGGAGGAAACCTGAATGTTTATAAGATGTAAACCACAATACGTATTCAAAGAAGTGTAAATCATTAAGATACCATTTTACACCCATCAAAATGATTAAAAAAATTAAAAGTCTGATAATCCCAAGCACTGGAGAGAATGTGGAATAATAGAAGTTCTTATAATTGGCGTACCCATTTTGGAGAGCAATTTGGCCACATCTGATGGAATTGAAGATGAATATTCTCTATAACCCAACCATCCTTCTCCTAAGCAATATGTTTAAAGAAACTCTTACATATTGTAGGAGACATAAGAATGCTTATTGAAGCCTTGTTTGTGACCGAAAACAAATGGGAATAAATGCTTAATAACAGAAAAATACATACATTGGGGTATGTTCACAAAATGGAGTATCATGTAGCAGTTAAAATGAGTGACTTATAGCTACATCCATCAACATGGATAAACTTCAAAAACATAGTATCATATAATAAGACTGCATCATGTAAACAATATATTATTTATACAGAGTTTAAAATATACAGACAGTTTCTGTGCAGGTAAATATGTATTAAGATAGAAAAACATTCATGGTAGAGAAGGAGGTAAGATTGGGGATAGCATGCAATCGCCTTCAACAGTATTTTTCAAGTTTTAGATCTTAATTCTTTTTTAAGATTTTATTTATTTGAAACAGAGACAAGCAAGCAGGAGGGGGAGGACTCTCAAGCTGACTCCACACTGAACACACAGAGCGAACACAGAGCTCGATCTCAGGACCCTGAGATCATGACCTGAGCGGAAACCAAGAGTAGGTCCCTTAATTGACTGACCCACGCAGGTGCCCCTCAAGTTTTTTTTATCTTTAAAAAGCAAAACAACCTGAGGCACATACAGCAAAACATTAAGATTTGACAAAACCAGGTGGGACATACCTGAGTATTCATTATTCTATTACTCTCATTTAATTCTCTATAATTTTATAGATTAAAATAGTAAACTGTTTTAAAACCTCAGCCCAAAAGTTGTATCTGCCTACTATCCTAATATGAATTAATATTAATATATTTCCTTGTCAGTAAAACTAATAATGGATATAATTAATTGCAAGTCCATTGGAGGACTGTCCATAGGCGGGAAAAAAATGGTAGCTTAACTACATTACTTAGATATTATGATATTGTCATTAAAGTTTATTGTTTCCAATGAAAACAGGATATTTCTTTTTGAATTTGCAATATGCAAGTTTTTGAATATGCAAATTTTTACTTCTTTCTTCTCTAGCTGAATGCTAATTTTTTGGTTTTTTTCTTTGGGTTAGGGAAATTTTGAAAATATAATGAATACTACCAATGTCACTTCTCTTTTATTAAGTAATACATTTCCCAGTCACTTCTGAAACTATTTTCAGCACTTTATCTATTATCCTACATGATCTTATTTGAATCCCTTGGGATTTCTTTTTTTAGACATTTAAATTTACATCTCTTTAATATTTTATTTTGCTTTCATTCCAAAGATCTCCAATACCTGGCATCCTGCGTATCCAAATTTCCAGCTTCCATACAGATCTGAAGCTGCAGACATGGGATATCCAATGCTACTGACCCCTATATCAGTAACCGCCAGGTTAATGATAATTGCATTTGTGGGTGTCCGAAGTTCCTTGTACTTAATGAAGATGCCCAGAACTGTTAGGTTGCTGAAAATACTTATTATACCTGAGAACATAGACAAAAGAAAACACACACACACACACACAAAAACCACTTTGTTTAATTTCAATGTTTAAAAGTAGTATCCAAATTAAATATTTAAGCCCCTTCAATAACAGCAAATCCATTTTAGTTCATTTATGTGAAGAGCTCCAACTGTTCTTAAAACTGGTTATAATACCTTACCAGCCCTTCTGTGAAATGGAAATAAGAAAATTTAAACAAAGACTCTACCAATTGCATACAGAGCACTGCAGGCTGGTTTTAATGTCCTCCCTATTAATCATGCTGCCCTTGAAATTCCTCCCGTCTTCCATGAGACCACCTCTGCTGATTTTTAAGATATATGTATGACCATACCACCTCTTTTGGCAGTCTAACTTCCTCCCGCTCCTTCCTGAGGCCTGAGGCTTTTCTTTCTCTATAGTTTGCTTTCTCAAGCCTCAACTATCTTTCTACCCTAACAGCTCTTCCGTCACTTTCCAGCCCTGACCCATGCTGCAGTTCCATATCCCTTTGCATTCAACTCATTGCCATTAAACATTTACTAGGGATCTACCATGTATAAGATCATATGACTGTCCAGTATTTCTGGAAACTCACCATGTCCAAATCTGAGTACCTCGTCCAACGTGCACACATGGACACCCCCCTGCAGAAAGCACACTGCAAGGTTTGACCATTCAGAAAGGGAATCGGGCTGGCTTTTATGTACATTGAGAAGCCTCACAGGTGATACCACCCTAGTCAAGGTTCCACAGTCTGGGATCTGTTAGCCTTGGAGGTCCAGAAACTCACTGTTGTCAATGCCCTGGAATGGGCTGGATTCAGGTAGACAGATGACTGAACTTCATGATCAGAATGGCAGTGTATTAATATATAATGAGTGGTATTGTTGAATGAACCAGACACTCATGTTAGCCTCTACATCCTGCATACAACCTCTACATCCTGCAAAGGATACATAAGTTTCCTATAAGCCAGATGGGGCCATATTAGGTCCTAACAGTGGGGGTGTGAGCAGCCCCCCAACAACTGTAGAGAGGGAAGGTTTCCAAGCACCAACACACAAAAGTATCAGCTGAGGAAGAACTTCCATTATATCTTGGCACCTCAGTAAAACTTTTTAGCATCCTGTGACACTAATCCTCCAGATTCCTATTCTTTCCCCTCTGTGCTGTTGGCAGAATAAGCTGGCTACAACATAGAATTAGCCATGTTTCTTCTCAGAGCTCCAATACTCTCCATTGGCTGTGGGATAAAAGCCCACACATCCCAACCTGATATCCAGGTTTTGCCTCAATCTGTTTTCACCTCTCTAAGCAAATTTCCACACTTGCCAAACAAGTCATCCATTCTAATTATTTATCAAACACATAAGGCTTGTTGTAAAGCCTCTCCCACTTGGAACACCCTATTTTTTTCCTATACCTATACAAATGCTAACCATCCTTCAAAGTTGTATTCAAGCCCAGCTCTGCTGAAAAGCCTTCCCCTACCCACAGTAATTCTCCCTTCTCTAAATTCCCAAAGCGCTTGCTTATATTATACATTATTCATCTTATGTGATGCTAGATTTAACTTTTAGATATTCCTAGTCTTCTCATCCAGATTTCAGGTTCCTAATGACTTCTGTGTTCTATGAGTATGTGGCATATAGCAGATTTGTTTGATAAACAGACCACAACTAAAAGTCCTATTAATTTCTACTATTCCTGCAAGGCATAAGTAAGGCACAATGATGGCAAATTTGGTGATTCTTTGGCTCTATTTTTAACTTTTTATTTTTTCTTAAGATTTTATTTTTAAGTAATCTCTACATCCAACATGGGGCTAGAACTCACAAACCTGAGATCAAGAGTCATATGCTCTACCAACTGAGCCAGCCAGGTGCCCCTCTTTGGCTCTAATTTTAGCATCAAGTATTGTAGCATACATACAAGAAATACTCCAAAAAGCTTAATGAATTGAAGAATCTTTCTAAGCTAACTACTAATTGATGATATTTAAAGTCAGATAAAACATAGTACAGTAAGTTGTTGCCTACCAAGTACACAACCAGAATAAAGTAACTGTACTTTGGGGGAGGTCTTAGATATAATGGAGGGTATGCGGTAAACAATTTGGCCTTTTTCTCTATTCGTTCAGCAGCTATCTCAAGCTCTCTGTTCTGTTTTCCTAACTGCAGGTATTTTCTAATGAGTAGACAATAGGTCATTTAATAGTTAAGTCTAAATTAATTTCCTCTTGACTTCTGTGGCTTTCTTACAATCTCTTGGCAGATCCTACTTAATCTACACCCTGGCCTTGCTTTCTCGATCTCTACCTTATTAAATATGTGCCTCGTCCTAGACCCCCTTTCTTTTCACGTTGACCACATAATCTGTGATTTCATACATATCCGAGGCTATGTGCTGCTTCTTTCCAGATTGAGCTCATAAAATTCAAACCCACGTGTCCAGCTTTTTACTGGACATCTCTCACACCGAACCAAGAGAATTTTCTCTTCCTTCTTCAAACCTGTTCTTCCCCACATGTATTCCTCCTATCTTGGTGAATAGCTTCACCATCTAACCACAAGAGCCCCCAAACAGAAAACTTGTCATCTTTGACACTCCCTTTCCTTCTCCCTCAATTGCCACATCCAACCATCAATTCTAACTTCTGGCTCTTGAACGTATCTACTTCTATCTCGATTGCCACTTCTCCCCCCTCAGGATCCTTCTTAATCACACAGGGGCCTTCTATGCGGTCTCTTAGCTACTACTATAGCATATCTCTAAAATGCAAATGGAATCATGTCATTCAGTGACTCCTCATCGCTTTTATGACTTAGGTGATTCTTCATTACTTGGTACACAGCCTCCTCTGCAGCCTAGTATCTCTTGCCCTTCAATTTACAATTCATCCAGAATGAATGTATTTCAGATCCTCAATTTACCATGTCCTCTTGCCTCCCAGCCTTACCTGGAGAAAGGGAGAATGCTCAAGCTGCTAAAAGTTTGTAAGAGCTAAAATCTAAAAGAAATATTAAATTGAAAATTAAAATTTAAACAAAAAATCTAATAAACTCTTGATAAAATTTCTTCTCATAGCTTTGGTTTTGATTTGGAAATATAAGTGGGTTTTGTTAAAAGGGGAAAACTAGGGGACCTAAAGAACAATAAATCTTTCAACAGAAGCATAAAGAGGTTAGATATGCTCCCTTCAGTTTATCTACAAAACCACAAATAACACATACCCAAGGTATTCCTTAATAAAACTGACTGTTGAGGTTACATGAGGGCTCTAGAATCAAAATGCCTCAGTTCAATCCTGGCGCAGCTACTTAGCAGCTTCATGTGTGTGTTGGGTAAGTTACTTAAACTCTTCGTCTATATAAACAGGGAAGATAAAACTCACTTACTGACTGTGTGTTAGGATGAATTATTCTGTATGTGTAAGTATTTAGAACAGTGCAAGTATTCAAATAACAATAGCAGTGGCAGTGGTGGTGGTGGTGGTGATGATCATCATCATAGTAGTGGCAGTAAAATTCCAATTATTGTTTCTGCTACAGGCATAAGAACCAGAGAGAACAATTACTTAACAAGAAATTTTCTTTGCATGCTACTTTTGTAAACAGATCAAAAAAGACAGCTTTACTTGGTCATCTACAAAAAACTAACTAAACTAAAAGTTTGTATACAAAGTATTTCTATGTAGTTGTAATAAGATTTTCTCTTTAATTAGCATATTTTTTCATACTGCTGCAACAACAAAAATCAAAAAGAAAATAGAACTTGTCCAGTACTTATCATACAGAGGTATTCAAGTGAACAAATTAGTGTATCACGAAAATTTACAAAAATTAACTGAAGAATCACAGTTCCTAGCACAGAAGTAATTGTGAATTATAGGGAAACTAAGCAACTATAAAGAATATACTGGGTATAGTAGGATTTGTGATACTTTGCCCTCCACTTTTGAATATATTTGAGAATTTCATAAGTCAATCCAAAAAATGACAATAAACCAATATAACAGTTACTTCTAAAACTCATTAATGAGCATAAAGTTGGAAATGAAGTGACTACTCAATATAAAATTTATACAATTCAACCTACACATTAAAAAGATAATTAGACAACTTCTATTTTATTTCCCCCATCCCTTTTTTGCAACAAACATGCCTTTATCTTAATCCCGTACACATCAATGAGTGTGTACACGTGGGGAGAAAGAAACAAGTATGTGTGTCCAATACCTACTGTATGTGTCATTTAGGTCATTTAATATTACTCTTCTCAACAATCATGACAGTTATCTTATTCTTATCCTGTTTTCAGATAAGAAAATGGAAGAACAAAAAGCTGAAGGAACTTGCTTACTGTTGCAAAGATAAGATACTAAAAGATGAAATCCAAAGCTCAAGAGTTTTCCAATACAGCATATTCTGGGAATGAGCTGAATTTTCAAATTCTGTCCTCAGTGACAACAGAGTCTGCTCTTTTTTCAACTTTAATTTTCTTTTTAAGGTCTTTCCATCTTAACTAGATTCCACTACCAAAGACAAGACTATGAACAGGATGTATGAGAGCAGTAAAGGACATAAAAATACATTTTTGCCATGGTACACACTCTTCCCCAATAAAAACCTGACAATGTAATAATCAAATATATGGATGATTATAAAAGAATTATTCATTTTATAGAAAACTTTTCTTAGCCCCACTTCACTACTGTTACATTGTTTATCAAGATTCAAAATAACTTGTGACATTAACCACCACTAACAATGCCTTCATTTATCCTTTCACCTACATTGTCTTACTATACAGCCAAGAAATACGGCAAGTATTATTATTCCTATTTGCGCACCCCACATGCGCACCCCAACTCAGAAAGGATAAGTGACTTGCTGGCCAACAACATGGAACTTGAAACATCTCTGAACCCATGCTTTTTCTTCCACCTTATGCTGAAAACCTCTGCTTTTCTTCACCCATTCGAAAACAAAATAATGGTTAATGGAGTAAACATCCATACCTGCTGTGATCAAGTAAGCTGCAACAATATTGTGTTCAGTCTGTGAAAAGACAGAGCCATCTTCATTTTTAGAGTCTGTACTGTTGTCTAAATTATCCCTTAGCATTTTGGAGGAAAGAAATTGAGACAGCCTTCATAATGAGCCTTCAATAATTATGAAATATCTTAAGAACCAATGAAGAAAGAATTTTCAGAACCAATCATTTCCACTTACAGACCTCGAAGAAGGGCCTTTTCATAGAGGCCCTCCCTTAACAAACTTAATTGGGCTGGAGAGGAAAGGATTTTAATTCCCAGAACAAGGAAAAAGCTTATTAGCAAAATAAAGAGAAATACCAAGCACCACACATTTTAAACAATTGGGGGATCAGTCCTGTATCTAAGGAGATTATCAAGTACACACCTCCCATTCAAACAATAAGCAAACTCAAAATCAGCAGGAGCTGACTTAACTGACTGCTGCTGGAAATCAGTTCTGAAATTAAGAACAAGCCTTGGTCTCCTAAAACTTTTCAGATTAAGGTCCCTGCTTTCTGCTGAGCCTTTCAAGTTCTTCCATTTGTTTCTTTTTCCATAACAATTTGAATAATCAGACATAAACAAAGAAGTAATCTCCTTCCATCCTTCCAAGTCTCACTTCCTTAGAAGTAGTAATATTTTTTGGTGTGTATCTTCTGTTTTTCTTTGCTTATACAAACATATATTCATACTAGGATTTGAGGTTTCTCCCATTTTTTTTCTTTTAAGCAAAAATGGGGAGATATGCATATATAAAATTCTGTTAACTTGTTTTCCCCTAAAGTCATATCATAAATTCCAGGCCAATAAACCTGTCTAACATTAATAGCTTGTATTTCATGGCATGGATATATATGATCTACTTCACAGCCCACCTTACTTAATTTACCCTATGCTTTGATATGCACAAGTAATTATCAGATAATAACAATCATAGCATATCTCAGCAAAGAATCTGGATTCAATCATTCATCTTGTAAGGTACAGAGCAATTCTAATATTCTGGACCACCCTGTAATAACCCAAAAAGTAGTTATACAAACGGGTTATAATGTAGCATGAAAACTGTTAGAATAAGATATCCCTACCACTTCTCCCCCCCATATTCTTTATGTCATGTATGATTACTAAAATCTGATTCTTTTCAAGTTAATTTTTCAAAATCAGTAACTTCAGAGAAATGCTAGATGCACCAGTTAACAGTGTAAACATGTAACAGAACCACTAGGGGGCTATATTTACCCACTTAATTTAATTTCATAACTCCTAAAATGGCACAGCAGGAAAGACCCAAGATAATCCTTTGCCTCAATTCTTCCAGCTACATATAAAATGACGTTGAGGGGCGCCTGGGTGGCTCAGTTGAGTAAGTGTCTGCCTTCAGTTCAGGTCGTGGTCCCAGGGTCCTGGGTTAGAGATCTGGGTCTTCAGGCTCCCTGCAAATGGGGAGTCTACTTCTCCCTCTCCCTCTGCCCCCACCACCACTCGTCTTCTCTCATGCTCTCTCTCTCAAATAAATAAAATCTTTTTTTAAAAGAATTAAAAAATAAAATGAAGTTGAGCCAGGTTGATCTGTCCCAGATCTTATAGCTACCAGTACTCAAAATTTTATAAATGTAAATACTCCAAAGAGTATCTATATTAGGAAAGTGAATCTCATCAGATTCCAAAAGTAATTTTCCGAAAAAGTAATTTTCAGCATATTTGTTCATCATATATATTTATGGCCTATATATTTATTAATTCTGCTGCAATTCCATTAATCAAAAAAGATAAGTAAAACCCAAATTACTGACAGAGACAACACTATATGCTACTCAAACAAGCATTCCAGAGTTAACCAAGTATTAATATTAGGTACAGCATGCTAGAAAATTTAAGGAAAGATGGAAACATCATTCTTTCTGAGAACAAATATATGTGTTTGGGGGGGAAATCAATGGCAGGGAAATGGTCCCATTATCACAGCATTCTAACTTGCTATCATAGTTACTTCTTGATACTACACTAGCAGTAGGGATCAAAAATCAATTTCATTTGTAATGTCCCTACCCAGAAATCTGAACATGTATTTATTTCTAATGAATAACATCTTTTCTTTTCTTATGATAAATAACATCTTAAGAGTTTCTTTTAAAAAATAAAATAAAAACATTCAGTAAAACTTTCAAGATCCCATCTAAGATTGTTGAAGGAGAATTGAACATTTCTCCAGAAATTACTTGAACTTCAGTTCTCACATGAACAGAGCTGTTCCAACTTTAATACATTCATAATCAACACTATAATTTGCTAATCAATTATTAATTGAACTTAAAGAAACTGCTTTAGTAACTCTTAACATACACAAGTGAAATGAAATAAAAGATGCTGATATTTTCATATACAAAAGGCAAAGATTTTGAAAGGGGGTGTTAATTTATAAATAACATTAAAGTACTGTTCCCCTAACCTACTTTTTTAAAGATCAGTTATATATGTTAACAAATCATTTTTCCTATCTGAAATCCACTGAGTTTAAGTTTAGTTATTCCTTTTAACTTCAAAAATAGCTCTGTTTTAATAAACACAGCTGCTCTAACTTAAAGAAATAGAACATTTTATTTTAAAAATTCCAAGTATGCTTCAAATGAAAACTGCCCATTTATTAAGCACCCACAAAGTTCCAAGCATTGTACAAAACATTAAAACATTTGTTCATACTCTTTTAGAGCAAAATTGCCTATTCTGTTGCACTCATTTTTGCATGGCGTTGACATTTTAGTCCCATTGCCAGAAAATGACCAGTTCTTCAAGACTTGCTCAAGAAACAAGTTTCTTATCCATAGAAGTAGATCGTGCAGGAAGTTTGTCAACTGTTACACTTAATGTCCTCTCCCTGATTAAGAGAAAATGAAAGTATTAAGGCTATAGAAAATAAATTTTTAATAGCACTATACCCGAAATCTCAAGTTTAAAATCTCTTCTTATACTGGTTAGACAACCAATTTACCAAATTTAACTGTCATTCATATTACACACCTTTTTATTTTTCAAATTAATACAGCAAAACAAATTAGATGTAGGTGAAAAAATTCAAAGGGGAAAGCAAGAAAGTGATATAAAAATAAAGCTATAAATTAGGCTAAAGCAATGGTGTCCTATATACTCGGGAAACCAAAATAAGACCGAATAAAAATTTAAAATGGTAGATAATACCAATTCAGAAATTCTGTGATTCAAAGATTTTTTTTTCACACTCACCTCTGAAACCACCACCACCCCTTCCTCCTCTGAAGCCTCCACCTCCACCTCCTCTTCCACCTCTGAAACCACCTAAAAATAAAGGAAATGTTTATAAAACTACTGTAGCCTATGCTATTCTGATAAGCCTAACACCCTAGATTACAACTTTTTAAACAAGTATTGTTTTAATGAATTACAAAAGCTTGTTAAAGTTCCATTTAGCCCTACTGTTAACTGTAGGAGTACCTCAACTTTTGCTTACTTTTTTGATTGAAGTAAGGCATTTTATCCTAAGAACCAAGGGTAGCAGCTAGGGGGAGTGAATTTTTTTCAGTGTTATAGATGAGACTGAATATAGAATGGGAATGAATCATCAGATTCTCAAAATATTTAATAGACATATATTCAGATTTCTTAAAGAGATTATCTCCTAGCTATATGGACCCAAAAAAGCATATTTAGAATGAAATAATTAAATTGAGAAAGGCAAAGGTGAAAACAGAGTTCTCTCCCTTTCTGCTTCAGTAACAAAAGATATCCAACCAATTTTCGGGTCCCCTTCCTAACCACTTAGGCTCCACCATCACCCTGTCACCTACCCACTACACCACTACTCACAGATCTAGGTATACTCTATGCTGCACCACACCTTATTCCCAACCCTGTTCATAATGATCAATGTACCAAAACTCTGAGGAAATACATATATCAAAATGCTGAAATCAAAGCAATGAATTTATGGGGAAGTCTTTAACATGACATCAGAAGATAGGGGTTTTATTTTTAGATGGCCAATTGTTTGATAAGGGCAAATTAACTTTTGTAAGCCTCCCATTTCCTCATCTAAAATAAGGCTATCACCTACCTCACAAGGTTTGAGTGAATATTAAAAGAATATGACCAGTTCTCAGCATATAATCAACACCCAGTAATATTAACTAAAAAACTAAAATTCAGTCAAGATAATCTTATACTTTATAAAATGCTCAACAAAACATGAATAACCCCAAAGAGATAAAATCCCTCAAAATTATATTTTATTAGATTTTTCTTAAATAAGTTATTGAAACTGAGCATTATTACTACGGCAATCTGCTAAGTTTTGAAAATAGCTTTTCTAAAAAAAATAAATAAGCATAAAGGAGGTTTGCCTATATAAAAAATTAAATTGTACTGTATGAATTGGCTGCAACTTTGAAATCTCATTAGAAAATTTCCCCCAAAAGTAACTTACCACCTCTACCACCTCGGCCACCTCCGCCTCTTCCTCCTCCTCGACCTCCCCTGCCACCACCTCTTGGAGGTCCCTTCTCACCTGGAGGTCGAGGTAAAAACCTCTGCAGTGGTAGCAGTTTATATGGGTCTATATAAAACTGGAAGTATAACAGAAACAATCAGTGCGATGACTTAGGAAGTAGAACAGTATAATCATGAAGAATCTACACACTAGACTCAAATATGCTTGAGTTCAAATCCCAACCCTATTAACTACTGTGTAGCTAGCCGTGGGTAAAGACCTAATTTCTTTGTACCTTAGTTTTCTGATCTATCAAATGAAGAGAATAAAGTACCTACCCCACAGTCTTTGTTAAGATCAAGAGTAATGTATACAAAGCACATACTTTGCACACAGTAAGCAATACAGGCATATAAATAAAAACCAAGACCAATTCAATCTCATTTCTCATATTTATAAATAGATGTCTTCCAAAAATTAACTACCTTTTCACTCAATAGAATTGCCCTAAAATGAAGGGCGCCTGGGTGGCTCAGTTGGTTAAGCTACTGCCTTCGGCTCAGGTCATGATCCTGGAGTCCAGGGATCGAGTCCCACATCGGGGTCCCTGCTCAGCAGGGAGTCTGCTTCTCCCTCTGACCCTCTTCCCTCTTGTGCTCTCTGGCTCTCATTCTCTCTCTCTCAAATAAATAAATAAAATCTTTAAAAAAAGAAAAAAAAAGAATTGCCCTAAAATGAAAACTATTAAAAATTTAACATTAAAATTCACAATGAAGTACAGACACACTAGTTATTTCAAAACCTGAATAAAGGATCAAATCAGTAACTATTTGCTGAACATACAAAGTAGTAAAGGATATGCATAAACTAAACCCATTCTATTATTTGGGATTAAAGAGGTTATTTTTCATAATAATGAAACATAACGGGGTATATTTCACAATTTTACATAAAACACGCATAAGGAGTTTCAAATAATAATGTATTACTTATAGATGTCTGAATTCCTCTTTAGATACCACCTTATCATTCTTCCCTTCAGAGCACATTCTCCCAAAAATATTGTCTAGCTCTGCACTGCCCAATATGGCAGCCACTAGCCACAGTGGCTATTTAATTAACAATTAAAAATTCAGTTCCTGAGTTACATTAGCCGTATTTCAGGTGTTCAATAGCTACAAATGGTTAGTGGCTATTGTACTAGGCAGGTATTTCCATCATTACAGAAAATTCAATTAGACAGCCTGGGCTGGATAAGGAAGACTTGAACCCGAACAGCGAATCTAGAAAAGGGAAGAAGTGGAATGTACCAATTTAGCATCTGTGATAAAAAACACTAAATAATAAATCCACAAGGGCTCCTGGGAGGCTCAGTCAGTTAAACGTCTGCCTTCAGCTCAGGTCATGATCTCAGGATCCTGGAATCGAGTCCCAACATCGGGCTCCCCACTCAGCCTGGAGTCTGCTTCTCCCTCTCCTTCTGCATCCCTCCCCCCACCGCTTCTGCTCTCTCTCTCAAATAAAATCTTTTGAAAAAAAATAATAAATCCTCAAATAAATAATACTGTGAGAAAAGGCAGTCGTCCAGATCGAATTTTAGTGGCTCTCGCAGGCAAATTCCTTTTTTCAGGTCACTAAATGAGAAGCCTGGCTCTCGGGCCCACCTGAAGCAGTTCAATTTCCCAGTGGGTCCTTGCCAGGGTTTCTACAGCCAGTAGCAGCCTTATGCCAGCAGCAAGGCACTATCCCCATCTCATCTCCTATTCCAATCTGGGTTCTGGGCCCAGCACTCCATTGGCTCCATGACCTTTTGCCCTCCCTGTTGCTAAATCCAAAGCACACTCTGCAGCAGCATTTTGCCGCAGCTGATCATTTCTGTTCTGACTTTGGTGATAACCACTTTTATGAAACTCTCCTGGTTTGCCTCCTACTTGACTGGTGTTATTTCTCAGTCTCCAAAGGATATAGAAATTTAGGAGATATCCTAAAGCTTTTTCTCATTCTTTCTTCCTAGACTGTACCATATACTGTCTGTACAACGACAACTTCCAATTCCACCTTTAATCCAGGCTCTTCCTTTGAACTCCTAACTATGTGAATATCTCATAAGTGCTTCAAACTCATTATGTCTAAAACTGAATTCACTGTCTTCCCCCAGTCCCCTTCTCCTTCAATGTTTCCCATTTCGGTACATGGTGACACCATCCACAAAGATGCTGAAATCAGACATCTGAAAGATGATTTTTTTTTTTAAAGATTTTATTTATTTGAGAGAGAGAGAGAGAGAGAATGAGCAGGGGGAATGGCAGAGGGAGAAGCAGACTCCCTGCTGAGCATGGAACCAGCCGCCAGCTGTGGGGCTCGATCCCAGGACCCTGGGATCACAACCTGAGCTGAAGGCAGCTTTACCAACTGAGCCACCCAGGCGCCCCGGATGGTGGTATTTTTAACTTCAACTATTAATCAATTACCAAGATCTTTCAATGCTACTTCCTGTATCTCTCATAAATCCATCCACTTTTCTCCATCTTCACTGTCACGACTACCCTAGTCCAAAATATCTCCTCTGGGACTAATGCAAGACTCCGACCTGGCCCCTTCACCTACAGTACTAACCCATTTCCAGGGTGCTCTTTTATTTTTCCAGTGCTCTTTTTTAATATAACTTAACTGTATTTATCCTAATATTTAAAAACAAAACTAAAACTAAAATCTAAACTCTTTCCCACGACCTGGAGGGAGGCCTTAAGTAACCCATCCCCTATCTACCTCTCTAGTCTCTCCTAAATGTTCTATGTTTGAGCTATACTTCTGCCTTTTTCAGATCCTTAAATTGGCTGTCTCAGAGACTTGTACAAACTGTTTTCTCTTCCCACCTCTTTGACTAGCAGTGATTCCCCAGTGCTACCCTAACTACATCAAAATTATCCAGGAGCTTGCCTTTTTACAATTGAATCCTGATCCCTACCTAAGACTTACTGGCTCAAATTTCTAAGAGTGGAACCAAGAAATATATGACCATAAAAGCTCCCCCAGAGAACCCTCCTACACCATTGGTGGGAATGCAAGCTGGTGCAGCCACTCTGGAAAACAGTATGGAGGTTCCTCAAAAAGTTGAGAATAGAGCTACCCTAAGACCCAGCAATTGCACTACTGGGTATTTACCCCAAAGATACAAATGTAGTGATCCAAAGGGGCACACGCACCCCAATGTTTATAGCAGCAATGTCCACAATAGCCAAACTATGGAAAGAGCCAAGATGTCCATCAATAGATAAACAAAGATATGGTATATATATACAATGGAATATTATGCAGCCATCAAAAAAATGAAATTTTGCCATTTGCAATGACATGGATGGAACTAGAGGGTATTATGCTGAGCGAAATAAATCAGTCAGAGAAGGACAGGTATCATATGATCTCAATGATATGAGGATTTTGAGAAACAAGACAAAGGATCACAGGGGAAGGGAGGGAAAAATGAAACAAGACAAAACCAGGGAGAGAGACAAACTATAAGAGACTCTTAATCTCAGGAAAGAAACTGAGGGTTGCTGGAGTGGAGGGGGGTGAGAGGGATGGGGCGGCTGGGTGACGGACATTGGGGAGGGTATGTACTATGGTGAGCACTGCGAATTGTGTAAGACTGATGAATCACAGACCTGTACCCCTGAAACAAATAATACATTATATGTTAATAAAAAAATTTAAAAAAGAAAAAAAAAGCTCCCCCAGATATTCTGATGAGCAACAAGGTTTGGGAATCACCCCTAGTCAATTTTCAGGTCTCAGCTTCTAGTTCACTTCCTCAGAAATCCAATATACTAAATTTGGTCCCACTACTAACATTTTCATAGCAATCTGTGTATCTCCTTCACAGTATATAACATAATGTTATTGAAATATTTGTGAAATCATTTAATGTCTGGCTTCTCCCAAATTAATGTTTCACAGTTTAACGTTTTACTCAGAATGTCTGGTCATGTAAGCTTTCCAGTAAGAGTCTTACATAAACTAAAAAACATATTATAGTAGTTATAGAATTTGCTAATAAATATTTTTAAATAAATACTAAATATTAAATTACTTTTAAAGATCAGTAAGTTCAACATCTAAAATACAGAACATCTCAATTTAAGAGCTTCATTAGTGATACACTGGGGGAATCTCAAGTGCTCTAAGTAACACTGTCCTAAGGAAGGTCATTCACTTATAAAACCAAAGATCCTAGTTATCATAAGCTTGACTCACCTTCTGCAGTTTTTTAAAGGAAGATGCCTTCATATTTTCAGACAATTTAACAGAAAAATACTATTAGTTATATTAAGGAAAAAGATCAAAGAAGGTAACCTTCTGAATTCATATGTAATTTTAAAAACAAAGTTACATGGGAATATTTAGGAAAGGTAAAAAACGAGTTTCCAAGAATTAAATGAAGTTTTTGTTTTTGAAACTTCTAATTCCACACTATTCCAGTGGCATCATCATAATCAAAGCAAAACCTTAATCCTATAGCACTTATCCAAATGGCAATCACTTCTAAAACCTTCCAAAAAGGAAGTCACTCTTACAGGATCTTTCTTTTCAATATGCGGAAATACATTCTCCTTGTTGGTCCAATCTTAGCAATACTCTGTCCAATTTAATGAAGCAAGAAGTCTAATTAAATCAAGACTTAGCTCCAGAAAAAGCAAATGGTAACCTTCCAATGAGATCACTGGGTCTTCTAATTAAAAAGGATACAAAATCTCTAAGTTGTCCAAATATTTCATCCACTTTACCAATTTGTTCTTTGTTCTCTAAATAAACTGGAGCATTGAAATAAGGCACCTTATTTTCATCTGTAGTACATTTACAAACTATGTCATCTTCACAGGGATGCAGGAACTCTCCCAATACTGAAACAGGACAAGAAAATGTTAAAATATAAAACAATTTCAAATGATATTGACCAACAACATCTGGAAGCTTTCTTCTTGGGTACCTGGGATTTCACTTTATCTGTTCTCCTCTGAGGCAAAAAGAAAAAAATAAAAAAAGCCAAAATCCTAGCTATGTGACCTGGGGTAAGATTCTTATCTCTCTGCTTCAGTGTCCTCATCTTTAATAAGGGCTAATAACAGTGCCAACACCTAACATACAGTATTATGAGGAATAAACACAGTAATAAATGGCAAGTGCTTAGAAAAATGCCTGATACATTAATGCCAACCTGTAACAGGTGTTTTATTAGAACAATAACTATTATTATTAAACACTATGCTTACATTCTACTGTCTCTTTTCATTTCCCCAGTCCCTATCTGTAAATTAGTCTTTGTTCTCCTTTTTTCCTCCCCTTTTATAACTTCCCACTACCACCTCTTCACCAATGACTCTTCACCCTTTTTCAGGGAAATGTGGAATCTCAAAATAACTACCTTTATTTCTGACTGTCACCCCAACTAAAATACTCATTACATCCCTGCAAAACTAATTCTTTATCCCTATCACCCAGGCTCAAAGCCTGGTACCTTTTATTCCCAAGTATCAGCCAAGTTCTACTGACTTTGTTTCCACTGAAATCTCTCTCCCATCAAACCCTTCCTTCTTTTTTCTGATGTCCACCACCCTCACAGTGCATCATGCACGGACTGTTGCATGCTTGTGGGCTACAACCTATGACTCTAGCCATTGCATTCTTCAAACCATGTTGCACACTGATCCAACCTCATCTTTATATCTTTTTATGTCTCTTCCTCCTTTCTCCTTTTTGATGTAGGTTTTTACTGTCAAATCTGTCTCACTTTCCTGACTTCTATCCACCTCACTGATAATTACTTCAAATCTACTCTAATTAGGTCTTTTTCTTGGCTTTCCCTCTGTAGTTTCCCTTCCAAGCAGTTTTTTTTCACACTTCTCTTACTTATGAATAGCAACTAACAGCATGGGCTTTGAAGTCAGGAAACCTGGCTTTGTATCTCAAAATGATCACTTATTACTATGAGAAACCTAACTCTGAATCACTGTTTTCTTACCTGTAAATCGGGAACAATAGGAGTAAACACACAATATTACCTACTTAATAACTTCCTTTCAGCCCAAGCTCAATTTCCACTTCCATGACGCATTCTAAGTGTTCTTTTGCTTTCTTGATCTTCCCTTTACATTACAACACTATTTTAAGTCAGTTTACAGCATCTTCAGACCTGACTCCCCAACCAAGCAGCGACTTCCGTATGAGAGCTGCTAGAGTTATCTTTCAGCAAGTAGTCCCCGAAATTAAACCCACAACCTCCGCCAAGTAGGCTAAGCTTTGAAGCCGACATACAAACTACATGATCCGGGGGTCCTTGGTCCTGGCCTTTGTTAAAGCCTCCGCGGCCACCTCCTCGTCCAAATCCTCCTCTGCCGCCACCGCCGCCTCTGAAATTACCGCCTCCACCTCGGAAGTGGTTGTTGCTGCCGCCGCGATTGAAGCCGCCACCTCGATTAAAGCCCCCCCGACCTCCGCCTCGAAAAGACATGCTTAACTCTACCTGGTGAGAAAAACAGTGCGTACCTTTTGGTCATTGTGGCCTCTGGGTACACCACCTAACCCCTCTGAGCCACGGACAGAACACCATACAGGGGGGCAATAATAAATACAGCAACCTTGCAACCTCACGCACGGCCAAGCCTCCAGAGACTAACCCGAAGGGTGAGGAGTGTCACCTCCCCAGAGCCCCGTGCGCGCTGACCGACCACTCACCAGCCTCGTCGCCCCCGGTTAGTACCTCCTCCCCCAGCAGGCAGCAAGGTCTTCACGCCGCATTCCCTTCTTTCCTCCCTCCCTCCCGCAGCTGGGTTTCGGGTCCAGCGATTCTCGTATCCTTCTGCTCCCTACCGCAACTCACCGGCGCCACGTGCACGTCCGGCCCGGCTGCGCACACCCACTCTCCCGGTACTTCCGCCGTACACGAGCCTCCTCGGCCACCGTACCCGCACACGGTGAGGACGGGGGCAACGACCAGAAACTCGATCGACTGGTTTACAAAAAAGCCAGTCACCGGCAAAACCCGGGGCGCTGTCGCCTTTCCAAAACAGCCCTCAGCGCTGGAAGAGCAGCAGTAGTAACTTCAAACACTAGTTCACGACAGTCAGGTCAACTTGCCTAGTCCTCCATAGGAAATGACGTATAATAGTGGCGTCCTTTGAATCAAGAAGTTGCCGGAAGTGCCCCCGCGGTGTTGCCCTGGGAGATGGCTGGCGTTAGTGATCCGCCCCCTTTCCCGGAAGCCTGGCGGTTCTAGGTGGCTGGGGGCTGACCGTGAGCCCTGGCTTTTCAGGCTGCAAAATGGTCTCCTCCTTCGTCAGTTCGTTGCCAGCCGCAGCAACTGTGCCGCCCACATCTCTGAGGAGTTTTCAGCTGCGCTCTACCCAGAGGTGGATCTGGTGGCGTCGCAACCCAGTGCAAGGGCTTCCTGCGTTCTTTTGAGCGCTAGTTTCTTCAGGACCTCTTGAAGTATGCACGATTGTGAGCTGAACTGTGCCTGTCCTTCTCTCCTATGGTTTCACCAGTTAAAGGAAGAAAAAAATGCGTGTATGTGTGTACGTTCCTTTAAAAATATTTTTTCTTTAAAAGTATATTTTATGTGACAAAAAGCCAAATAATATTTTTATCTTTTACACCAAATAGTTTATTCAATTTGTCAAGTGCTTTTTTTTTTTTTTTGTACACGCTTTAGTTAAATAATCTCTACACCTAACGTGGGGTCCAACACACAACCGGGAGCTGAAGAGTGGCAGGCTCTTCTGAGTGAGCCAGCCAGGCGCCCCTGTCCAGTACGTTTTTAGCGTTGGCAGGCTCTGGACCATCTATGCTGCAAGCTCCTCTTCCTTTTTTCTTTAAGCCCTTGATATCTAATTTCAGCTTCCAGTGAAATTTCTCTTCCAAAGAAAGCTAGTGATCTATTTGTTAAATTTGGTTGGTCTCTTTTACACCAGAATCTTTTTTTTTTTTTTTTAAGATTTTATTTATCTATTTGAGAGAGAGAGAGACATAGCAAGAGAGGGAACGTGAGCAGGGGGAGTGGGAGAGGGAGAAGCAGGCTTCCCGCGGAGCAGGGAGCCCGATGTGGGGCTGGAGCCCAATGTGGGGCTTGATTCCAGGACCCTGGGATCATGACCCTAGCCTAAGGCAGACGCTTAAGAACTGAGCCACCCAGGCGCCCCTACACCAGAATCTTTTGAGACCCTACCTTGGTATTTGACGTAGTCGATGGCCTCTTCTTTGAAAGGGCGGAGATCGGTACCTACTTCGGAGGGCTGTTTTGATTCGGAAAGAACTTTGTAAACTTACCTATGAAATACTGGAAATCACAATATGTCTTCTACACCAATGTATAAGCTTCTTGAGAAGGCCCCTAACAATCCTACATATAAAAGGAATTTGATAAATGTATTTTTTATTCAGATTTGGTAAATGTACTTTAAATTCTGTACATAGTATAGAAAATTACTCATAACTTCCCTGCCCTATTTTGCTTTACTTCATTTAACTTTTATGTTCAGTGTTTAGCTCCATTTGGTGTCCACTCTTACCTCTAACTCACTGTGGTGAAATCAGTGAAGTTTTATAAGATCTTCAGGATTACTTGGTGCCCCTTTATTTTACTTATTGTCAGTGGGAACTAACATTCAGAGAGGTGAAGTAACTTTGCCAGCCAGTTATGGGAACAAAGTAGAACCTTAGATTCTCAGAGCTTTCAGTCCTTCTGTGCCCACCCTCCATCTCTTACTCTTCCCAAATTGTACATCATTCCCCTTCCCTGTTAACCCTCGTGGTGGCATCATACCCTTGGTGTCTGAATCTTTGAACTCAGACTTTTGAGCACTCTCCTCTATCATTGTTATCACCATCCCCACCGCAGCCTTGATTGGTCTCTTTTCTCCAAAGCTATCAATTTCTATTAATTCCTTGGAAGATAGCTTTGTGCTGTCATTACAGGCCTCCTGTTGTCACTTCCACACTTCGTTGTGTTAATTCCTACCCTAAATCACTCAATATAATCTACAAGAATTCAGAAGTCCAGAATAAATGCTTCCATGTTTAACTTTTCTTCCATCTGTATTGCATGTGATGACATACTGAACTAACTAAAAGAGTTTACTCATGCCATAGCCGTCCTCAAAACCTCAAATAGCTCCCCATTTCCTTTAGCAACAAGTCTAAAGTAAAATCTTTCCATTGAGTAGGTCCTCTATGTGATTAATTTTATTTCCTTCTTATGTTGTACACCATCCCTCTTCTTAATCAGGCCAGCACCATTGCCTTGCTTCTCTTTCTCCATTGTTATCATATACTTCCTGCTTAGAAAAGCTTCATTTCCCATCTACCAGACCAGCCGTTTTCTCTCTTTTTTTATCCTGGAGGAACCCTTAAAATAATTTTCTTGTGTTTGAAACCCCTGCATAAAAATGTTATAAGTGTGTGTGCATGTATTTATATATATATATATAATAAGCATATATATATATAAATATCAAGTTGTAGACATAATGATCCAGTAATAATTGTCAATGCTCTTTTTTTTAAACTGTGGTAAAATACACATAACAAACTTTACCATATTAATCATTTTTAAGTGTATAGTTCAGTGGTTTACACTATTGTGCAACTCGTTATTTTGAGTAGAGAATGATGTTTTCTGTGAATCTATTTCTTTGTCCAACTTATTAACCTATTCTGTGTACGTTCCCTTCCTCATAAAGGATATCAATTGTGATGCAAATTTTTTAAAAACTTTTATTAATTTATTTGACAGAGAGAGCACAAGCAGGGAGACCTGCAGAGGGAGAGGGAGAAGCAGGGTCCCCACTAAGCAGGGAGCCTGACATGGGACTCACCATGGGGCTGGGTCCCAGAACCCTGGGATCACAACCCCAGGGGAAGGCAGAAGGCAGCGTTCAACGGATTGAGCCACCCAGGCACCCCAGTTGTGATGCAAATTAAGTAGGAGAAGAAACTTCCATTTTTCCTTTAATAAAGATTGCAAATTGATTTTAATGAATGTTAATCTCTTTTTATAGGCCTATATTGGGATAAAAGTGTTATTTTTGAAGTGAAAAAAAGTGAAATTAACCTATTTACTAAGAAATCTTTTCTTGCCTTTTACTGTGTATATCCTCAATTCCGAGTCGATCTTGAAGCTGGCATACATAGATTTCATTTTCAACTAAAATAAGATGATTTCTGTCTTTGCTCTTAATGTTCATTATTAGACAAGATAAAGCTTGCTCACACAAGTAAGAGGTTGAAAAGTACAGTAAAATATTTATTACTTTTCTATGAATGGTATAGGATGCTTTTCTTTTACAGAAATCCAGAACTTATAGAAGGGCAAATCAGTAAATTTCATCTTACATTTATAATCGTTAATTCACAAAATTCTTCCTCTTCTATCAAAGTCAGGTGCTCAGACTGAGAAGATTCAGAGAACGGAGTCCTCATTCAGTCGTACACTTGTGTTATGGAGGGAAAATATTATTTAGTTTTGTTCTACAATTCTCCTAAGTGGTTTGGTCTCAACTTGAGACTTGAAATTTCCTCACTAAATGCAAGCAGCAGTGGAAGCTTCAAGATTTCTTTTTGCCATGTGATTTTTTCCAAAATTTTTATTTCCATTTAAAACCAAGAATCTTGTCACTTGAAGTCAAAATATTTTCTCCAAGCCCTTGAATATACTCAACTAATTCAACTAGTTCATGTGATGAAAAATGTCTACTAAGTAGGCTAGTTTCTGAAGCTCTTCTTGATCTTCAAAGCATTTGGCACAACCTAGCCTCCTATTTTCTTGGAAGTATTACCACAGCTCACTTTTTAGCTCAAACATCCTGTTAAGAAACAAAATCTGTATTAGTTTCTCTTACTGTGTAACAAATCACCCCAACACTTAGTGGCTTAAAACAATAAATATCTTGCATAGTTTCTGCAGGTCAGAAATTCAGGAGCAGCTCAGGTTGGTGGTTCTGGCTCAGAGTCTCTTATGGTCTCAGTCAAGATGTTTCCTGGGGTCGCTGTCACCTGGAGGCACAACTGGGGGTGGAGGATCAGTTTCTAACGTGGCTCACTCGTGTGTCTAGCAAGCTAATGCTTTCTATTGCCACCACATGAACCTTTTACAGAGTACTTAAGTATTTTCATGACATGACAGCTGTCTTCCCCTACAACAAATGATATCCTAAGCCATAAGATATTATGCATGTGGCAGAAGATTTATGTGGTCTTTGTCCAGGTTTTCAGTTTCTTAAACATTGTTCAGTGAACTAGCCTTTGATAAGTTTAGGCATTTCTTTTTTCCTCTCTCTTTTTTAAGATTTATTTATTTTATGGGGTTCCTGTGTGGCTCAGTCGATTAAGTGTCTTCCTTCGGCTCAGGTCATGATCTCAGGGTCCTGGGATCAAACAACCCCCCCTCCCCACTCCCCCCCAATCAAGCTCCCTGCTCAGCGGAGAGTCTGCTTCTCCCTCTCCCTCTGCCCTTCCCCGCCCCCTCATGCACTCTCACTAAATTTGAGAGTGAGAGCGGGGGGTGGGGGGGGCGCGGGGAGGGGCAGAGGGAGAATCTCCAGCAGACTCCCCCTGAGCAAGGAGCCGGACTGGGGGCTCGATCCCAGGACCCTGAGTTCATGACCTGAGCTGAAATCAAGAGTTGAACACTTAACTGACTGAGCCCCCCAGGCACCCCCAAGTTTAGGTATTTCTGTAGCATCATCCCAAATTATTTTCATTTCAGCTCCAGAAGTTTCTGACACCAGCATATCTCTGGGAAGAAAGCAGTGTATTGTGAATATATCAGGATTTTCTTTTCTTTTTTTAAGATTTTATTTATTTATTTGTCAGAGAGA